AATAGTACCCGTATGAGACTAGTTGCGACTAATTTATGCCCAATTGTTCCTGATTGAGAGTAATCTCGGAATACTCTCTTTAGAGATTAGGGTATGTACATTCATGCATACATATGCAATAGAAATAAACGTGCGCAGATAGTGTAATTATTTTATCCCATTCATCGGTTTAACGCAACGGTTCCCAATCTTTTATTCCCCGTAGACCCCTTTCAAAACCTTACTGGTTGCGGTGGATTCCTGCTGCTACATTTCTAAGATATTCCCAAAGCTCTTCAAAAAATGTAAGGATTGGATCTAACGATGTAAATTTGCACCGCGGGTGAGTTCCAAGACTGAATTCACAGTGGCAAAAAGAAAAATGAAATATTTTCTTGTGATTTATTTATTAAATGTGATTACACACTTGCAAGTTATAAAAAAGAGTGCTTGTAATGCGTTGAAAGTACTCTCTCGCTCTGAGGAGTTATACTTTTTAAGCGAACTCAGAGCGCTAGCGTTATTTACATTCTGTTTACCACAACCTCCTCTCATGTTCGGCTCACTCATGAATTTGCATGTGGCGTATTCGTAGAATTGTTTATTTGTGTTGATGGAATCATCCGAGTTTCAAAGGTATGCAAATGCCTGGTTTGATCCAGTTCTGGCCAAATGGTTAGCTGTCTCATAACGATGTACTCCCGAATGTTCAGATACCCAGAGTAAAGCAAGCTCGTTATATTTACCAACATAAAATGATAACATAAGTCGAGACCTGCATTGCCGAACTAGTTTGGAAGTACTTAGATAGCGGGCTGGCCATTGCCTTAAGTGCAGCCTGCCTGTAAATTCAAATATGTAGTCCACGGCTTTGAGGATTGAAAATACCTCAGCCTGGAAGACCGGGCATATTCCCCAAGAGAAAAGTGAAGCTTATCCCCATTAACTTCGTAAAAAACCCCAGATCCTGACTCAGAGTCAGTTTTGGAGCCTTCAGTGAAGATTCGACAATGCGTGAGTCCGGGCTCAGAGCTGGAATAAAACAAGCATTCGACCTCAGGGAAGTCAACATTATAGAATCTCTTCAACAAAGGTAATGGTACGTACTATCATATAACATTGAAAAGAAACAAGTGCTCAAATCTCTGCCGCCAGCAATTTTCGCCTCGCCACTCAGTGTTATAAGAATATCCGTTTCTTTTTAGTCTGAACGTGGCCTTTAAGGCTTCCCCTTGTATGAACACACAAAGTGCCGATAAGTGCAGCAGTGCGTCAAGAGCACTACACACCACTCAAAAAAATTAAACTTAAATAAATGGGATAACGAGCAACCATTCTGGTTACTATCGAAACCAGGTACATTTTCGTGGACCCCCACTTACAAATCCGGGACCCCAATGAACCACTTTGGCAATCACTGGTTTAAAGTCACTACATTTGTACTCATTTCAGATATCTCTCGGCTATCATCGCTTAGAGATTTGCTTCCACTTATAACTAGTTGCAACGTGATTGCTATGGGTTAATTAAGAATAATGTGTTTTATCTGTTGTATTTATGTAGATACATTTTGTACTTATGTATATATATTTATATGCTAAATATTTTATTTTAATATTTTTTTTTAACAATGATTAAGCTTAAAAATACTTTTGAAGAAGGCTGCCACCTATTTGAAAGATCCAACTCAATTAACTAATTCAAAAGGTATATAAAATATAAAATACCGTAGTCAAACGAAAGATTGTTAAGAAATTCAGAGGATCCATTTAGCCAGCTTATTGATTAAAAAGCACTATCTAGATTTTTTTTTTAATGTTGTCCGCACTTTGGGATTTCGGCCGCCTTGTGCGACGCCCTTTTTCTATCCAGCGCCGGACTATATTTCATTATGGCAAACTAAAGTAAGATGAACTATTCTGAATCTTTGAATTTTACGCCAATATTTATACCCTCTCTTTCCTCCCA